TTTGGTAAAAAAAAAAAAAAAAAAACCAAAAAAAAAAACCACCAAAACCTAGCTTGTTGGGATCTTGGCATCAGGTGATGCTCATGTAGGGGATCAGTCAGTCACTCTGTGGATGGAGAAGGAGTCTTCATTGCAGGGGTCCTTGCAGCAGCACCTCCAGTGGGGTCAGGTGAGACTCCCCAAACCGCTCCCTGCTCTGGCTTTGTCCGGGTGTTGGCCATGTTCCAGTGTATGCACGATCCATCGCTACTGCTTATCTCAGCTACACGGGAAACAGCACTTACATGTCCTAACCACGTGCAGAAGACTGTCCTAGATGACCGTTTCTGCAGGGACTGTTCCAGTTGACTCTTTGCAAATGTCTCAACGCTGAACGTCTCAGTGGCTAGCATTTGTCTCAATCCAGCTGCTGTTCTACCTGAGCAGAGGGAGCCAGGGAGTCACCCAGAGACCCCACAGCTGGTCGGTCTGAGTACGTGTGCAGGCACAGCCTGGTACCCAACCATGCTGCAGAGATGGCAAAGGAATAAATTTGATTTTAAAGCCTATAACTTCACTTACAAATGAAGTCTCATAGTTCCTGTCCCCTCTGCCATGTCTGCCTGCTCGTCACTCCTACAGAATCACAGAATCACAGAATGGTCAGGGTTGGAAGGGACCTCTGGAGATCATCTAGTCCAACCCCTCCACCAGAGCAGGGTCACCTACAACAGGTTGCACAGGACAGTGTCCAGGCGGGTTTTGAATGTCTCCAGTGAGAGACACCACAACCTCTCTGGGCAGCCTGTGCCAGTGCTCTGCCACCCTCAGAGTAAAGAAGTTCCTCCTCATGTTAAGATGGAACTTCCTATGTTCAAGTTTGTGCCCATTACCTCTTGTCCTGTCACTGGGCACCACTGAAAAAACACTGTTCCCATCCCCCTGGCACCCTCCCTTTAAGTGTTTGTAGGCGTTAATAAGATCCCCCCTCAATCTTCTTTTCTCGAGACTAAAGAGACCCAAGTCCCTCAGCCTTTCACTCCTGACAGCGCCCTGGTCAGGACCACTACACCCTGCTCTGGTCCTCCGCCTCTCTCCTTGGCCCAGCTCTGGCAGCTGCCTTGCTGAGCACAGACCGTCACCACAGGAGGATGGAGGAGCTCCTCAGACAGGTCCCCAAGCCCTTCCTGGTGCTGTTGGGGAGCTGGGGCACCCTCCCAGATGTGACCTGCCTCCCCAATGCGTGACAAAGCTCATCACTCTTGGCAGTACCTCCCCTTGGGTGGACAGGGGACCTGCAGCTCGTCCAGCTTCCCCTATGAGGCTCCCTGTGGTGCCCACTCCCACCACACCGCCCACACCTGGGCTGTGCCGCAGCAGCAACGCTGAGTCCCCCTCCACTCCAGTGAGTGCTGACTGGGTGCTGGGTCAATGACCTGGGCTCCAACATAACCACTGGGGCTTTGAATGGAAAAGACTAATTCACCTGTTTCTACCACATGGCTGTGATGGCCATAACAAGTGAGATCCAGCTGTCACTGCTGCAGAGGTCTCAGCATCACACGAATCAGAAGAGCAACCCACCTTCAGCTTCACCATCATCTGGAGCTTTCCAGCTGCTTCTCCTTTCCCAGCCTCCCTGAGGTGTCCCCAGAGCTCCCCTGCCCTGCCTGTGGTGTCCCTGATGCTCTTCTGCCTTCCCTGCAGTATCCTTGACAATCCCCTGCCTTCACCATCGGTGTCCCAACTGCTCCCCCAGCTCTGCAGTGCCCTCAGAGATCTCCAGCCCTCCCTGGGCTCATGGTGTCCCTGATGGTCCCCTGCCCTCCTGTGGTGCCCCCAGTGCTCCCCCATCCCCAACACCAGAGCCGCATGGCTGATGGCACCTCCCAGTCCCCACTGCTGGCTCTTGCCCAGGCAGGTCGTGCTCAGGATGAGGTGGAGCAGAGCTGGGTGCAGGCTCAGGTGAGCTCATCCCCCCCACGCCCCGTGTATCCCAATGCACGTCTAGTGCCATGTCCCCGCAGGTCAGGAGACTGGAGAGGGTAACACCACCCACCTGCAGTCAGCCTTTCTCACTCACTAACCCTCAAGCTGTCTGCCAAAGAGGCAAACACCCATCCCAGCTCCCTCTCCCACCTCCAACCCCTTCATCAGCCACAGACTCCACCACCACCTCCATGGTCCAGTGCTTTGTGGACAAGGACAGGAAGGAAATACTGAGGACCATGTGGGCCACGGAAGATAAAGTTGACAGCCTCAGGAATGACTGGAAAGGCAATGGGAAAGCCAGGGCAGGGTGGGGCTGCAGGGCATTTCTCCATCCCTGCTCTGTGCTGGGGCTGCACATCATGGAGACCCTGGGGGGAGCGCTGAGCCCTGGGGGTGGGTGCCGGTGCTGGGAGCCAGCTGGGCAGCAGGAAAGGGAGGGTGGTGCTGGCACCCCGAGGGCTTTTGGAGCAAGTCCCTGGGATAGGAGCTGAAGGCAGCTACGATAATTTTATAATTAAAAACAAAGTGAAATTTTCACATGTGTGTCACCACATCCTGCTCCCCAGGAAGAGGACAGTGGCCCTCCTGGTGTCTTCAAGCCTGGGGCAGATGCATCTCTGGAGGATGCTTGACACAGATGCTCATCCCCTGTGCAGGGCAGGGGCCAGAGAGATCCCTCCCGAGCTGGACACAGCCAGGTGCCGGCTCTGTCTTCCCCTGCATCATGAGCAGTGACATGTTCACCCGGTTGGAGAGATATCTTGGAGGAGGTGTCTGTGCTGCATCCCCGTGCAGTAGTTAGGCAGTCTGAGGGCTCCTGCCCACCTTCCCACCCTTGTTACTGTCTCATACCATTAGGGACCCCTCGGGAGGGCTCAGCCAGGGCTCTGCCATGTAGCTGTACCCTGCCCGGCCCCAAAGCACCACACATGTGGCATTGCCTCCCATGGCATCTGTGCGTGGCAGCACCATGCACAGGGCGTCCCCTCCATGAAGACAACCAAATTTTACTCTCTACGTATCTTCCAGAAAAGCCCTTCTGCACCGAGAAGCAGTACCAATTCCTGAGTGCCCAAGAGCTCCCACTGCAGAGCCAGGGAAAGCCCAGCACATCCAGCAGAAAAAAACAGCATAGAAACAGCAGCAGAAAGTTGTAACACAGGAGGGGACTGCCATGAGGAGGAGCTCCTGTGGGCAGACGCACCACCCTCCAGTGCAGCAGAGAAGAGCTGGTCGGGCTGTGTTTGCTGCAGCACTGTCTTTGGATGGCAGCACTGGGACGGTGGCAGTAGGGCAGTGCCAGGCTCTGCCCAGCCCAGAGACTCTGTTACGGAGCAAGGAATGGGCTGGCAGAGCCTCTTGGATAGGGGATGTGCAAACCACCCCCGTGCCCCGACTTCTCCGCACAGCCGTGCTCATCCCCGCGTTCCTCCGGCACTGCCTGGGTCACGCAGACCTCCTCGCCTCGCCTGTCCTGTCCTGGGCACACTGCCACCCGGCCACCCGTCCCACAGCTGCCAACCCGGTGTCCATAGGGCTCCAGTTACAGCCCTATAAAGGGGGACAGGGCACGGGGCCGGGAGGGAGCCGTGCCGGGTACTTTGCACCACCACGACTATGGGGAGCGATGCTTTCACCCTGGTCCTCACCCTGGCCCTGGTGGCATGCGTTTCCCCTGAGGAGAGGAAGGTACGGGGATGGGTGGTGATGGGGACATGGAAGACACTGTGATGCAGTGTGAGCAGCTGGGGGTGTCCCCTCTTAAATGCCATCTTGGTCTGGGACAAGCAGGAGAGCTTTGCAAGCACCCAATCCAGGCCATGGCCAGGGTATCTCTGGGTCACCATCTCCACAAGGTTTTTCTCCCAGAGGGGCACCAAGCGTGGGTCATCCTGCAGGGTCTGTGCCCAGGGTTACTATGCATGGGGCATCCTTTCCCACAGGGTCTCTGCCTGGGGGTACTGTGCACAGGGCATCTCCTCCCACGGGATCTGTGCCCGGGGGAACCACACACGGGGGCATCCCTTCCCCTGGGGTCTGTGCCCAGGGCCACCATGCACACTGCCGGGCTGCGACACGCTGGCCAAGGATGCACCACCAGCACAGCAGCTGGCAACACCTGGGAGAGCATTTCACCAAACTGGGGACAAGGAGAGCTGCGCTCTGCTGTCGCACCCACAGAAGGGCTGACAGCTCCGGCTGTGGGACGGTGGGAGGGATGGGGTCTCCCTCTGCCCCGTGCGCAAGGGCAGAGGGCCCGTGGCTCGCTGAGGGAGATTTCGGCGGTGAGGGATGACGGGAGCTTCCAGGGGAAATACCTCACGCGGGTCACCCTCGCCGGCGTCTGTGCCCGTGCCTCCCCCTTACTGGGCGCCCAGCAGCAGCCCAGCGAGGGGGGCTGGCCCACCTTCGCCTTCACCGTGCGCTGGGACAAGTTCTCCAGTAAGTGCTGGGACACCCAGGGTCCAGGAATTTTCCTGCCTGGCTCACCCAAGGGAGCCGCTGGGGAAGGGCAGGTCCCCCCGGCATGGGTTGGGTGGGCGTGTGGATGTTGTAGCAGAAACATGGCTGTAGCTGGGAGGATGTCAGGGAAGGGAAATCAGCCAGCGAGTGGGAATACATCCCCATTGACCCCTTCCCCCAGATGCCACCACCGCCTTTGCGGGGCAGTGCTTCGTGGACACGGGTGGGAAGGAGACGCTGACCACCATGTGGCTGGTGCGTGAAGCCGTTGGGTCCCTGGAGGAGGACTGGAAAGCCACAAGGTAGTGGGGGATGTGGGGGGCAGCAACCCCACAGAGGGGCCCTCCCCAGGACCCCTGAGGACAAGCATGCCCCTGAGCGATGGGACCACCCCTGGCAACCCCACAGCGTGGATTTGCAGCAGCGATGCCAATGCCTCCTGGCTAGGGGCTTGCCCTGGCCAAGGGCATCCAGCAGCTGCTCAGGGCAAGTTGGGGGGCATTTAGCAACACCCCTGAGTGGATCATGTCTGCAGATCATCCCACAGGAACTCTCTGCTTCCCACAGGGTGGGCAGAAATGTCTTCACACGCAAACGCACCCTGAAAGGAAAGATTCTGCCGAGCTTGTTCCCATCCTGTGTGGACACAGCTTCACCTGCCCCATGATGGCATGTTCTGGCTGCAGTCTGGACCCACAAGACAACCAAAACTGGCTTCTCACATAAAAAAAAAAAATAATGTAGAAGACATGTCAGCTGTGGTCGTCTTTTTTAAAAAACTGCCATCGCTCCCCCTCTGAGGCAGCTTCTATCCCCATGGGTACCCCTGCGGAGGTGAGGGCTCACCACTGCCCTTCCCCAGGGACAGCTGGATACCCCCAGTTACCCCCATCCAGCTCCCCGGGTTCATTTCCCACCTCATCCTAACACAAACTTCCACCCTGCGCCGTCACTCCACACCTGCTTGCTGGTGGCAGACATGGAGTCAGCATCCTGAATCCAGCCACCTTCCTTGTGGTGCCTTCATACACATCTCTGCCAGATGCCTTTCCAGCCCCAGGACTTCCCGTAGGGTTGGGTGATGGAGGTAATGGTATCAGTACATGTGAGATGTTGGTAAAGTGCTTCATTCATGCTGCGTGACACACGAAGTAAAACGTACACAGTTAAAGCTCCCATCCCATCCCATCCCATCCCATTCCATCGCATTGTATCCCATCCTGTCGCGTTGTATCCCATCCCGTCATATCCCATCCCATCCCGTCCTCCTGGGTTACAACCAGGGATTTTACCCTTCTGAGCGGCTGCATTTCAGCAATGACACTCTATCTGCCTCTGTGGACACCTGCCAAGCCTAGTCAGCTCTTTAAACACAATGTTTTTGGCAGGTCCGTGGGTGACGATGAAGCCTCTTGCAGAAGCGTTACAAATATAACGCAGCCCCAGGGATGCCAGCACACTAGCCCTACAGTCCATTGAGCCTGGCCTGGAACCTTGGGTGTGAGGCGGAGGGGTGGCTCCCACCGCCCTGCCACCTCAAACAGGGCAGCTTGTCCCTGCCAAACAGGGCAGAAAGGCAGGGGCTGGTGTCAGGCCGAAAGGATGGCGTGCAGCATCCAGGGCAAGAGTAAGAGATCCCTCGGAGGAGGAGGGAGGGGGGAGTTGGGGTGGATTTCTCAGGCCTCTGTGATAAGCCCATGAGTTTGGGATGGTAAAAGGCAACATGGAGGAGTGATGTGCTAGGAGAGGGGTGGTTTCTGCTCGCCCCAGCCTTTGGGGCCATCTGGACCAGAGGGGGAAAGGCACTGAGCAGCATCAGCAGTGGGATCCCGGTGTGCTCCGGGGCTCGTGCCAGGCACTGAGCAGTGCCACCACCCTAGGGCACGACTCCACCACCCCCAGTACGCACTCCACAGCTCTGCTGCCATCCAGTGCCCCAGACACTGCAGTCCTGGGGATGATATGTGTTTACACAGATGAATCTCACCTTAGTTTTCAGTTGCCCACAGCCCCGTGCCTGCTCCAGGCACTGCAGAGAGCGGAGAAGCAGCTCAGGAGCGCAGGGGCAGTGCACGCTCCGTTTTGTACATCCAAAACCCTTAAGAGCAGCAACTGTAATGAAGAGGTGCAAATACAAGGCTGGTTAGCACGCTGGGTGTGTTTAACAAACACATTCCCTTGGACCCAGTGCCCCTCTGTGGTTACTTCTACCTCTAACTCTTGTAAAAGCAAAAGCAGCAAAATTAGCAGCTGGTATACAGAAGATGCTGGGGAATTGTTACTGCTGGGGCAAGCCCTCCCTCCTGGGCCGCGCTGCAGCTTGCCTCTGCCCGGGATGCCCCGACACTGTGTGGGTGACACGCTAGTCAGTGGCACCAGCGGAGCAGGGAGCGATTAAATGTTTAAACGGGTGATAATTTCCAGCCTGCACACGCAGGAGGCAGATTCCGAGGAAGGTACTTGATGCTTCTCAGGCTGCTATAAAGGGCTTTAAAAAAAACCTGCACCCCAACCTCTCTGCACATCCATCCGTGCTCATCCCTGCGTTCCTCCGGCACTGCCTGGGTCACTCAGACCTCCTCGCCTCACCTGTCCTGTCCCGGGCACACTGCCACCCGGCCACTTGTCCCGCAGCTGCCAGCCCAGTGCCCACAGGACTCCAGTTACAGCC